AGTTTTCAGTCATGTACAAGGACTGGTGTGTGGGCATTTGCCATCTCGCCCACACGCCCGTCTCCTCTCCCACACGTAAGTTGCTAGTTGCCATGTGTTTTTGCAACGCACATGACAACTACCTCTAGTATGCTTTATAAGCAGGTGGCCACTCTATTTTTTTATCTGAGTTGCCATGTGTTTTTGCAGGGTACACGGCAACTGCCTAGTGTGCACGTAAGCAGATGGCAACGGTCTTTTACCGAGTTGCCATGTGTTTTTGCATGGTACATGGCAACTGCCCCAACGTGCACGTACATGACAACTGCCCTAACGTGCACGTAAGCAGATGGCAACTATTCCTTTTTACATGGCAACTGCCCCAGCATGCTTGTGAGCACATGGCAACTCTCTCAGCTGCCTAGTGTTAGTATGTGGCAATTCCTAAAGTTATGAAATCATGGCAACTACATTAGATCAGACCATACATGGCAACTGCAGTTGAGCAACCATGACAACTGCAGTTGTTCGACATGGCAACCGTAGTTCAGCGACATGGCAACTGCAGATAAACGAACATGGATGAGGGTCTGGACCATGGCAACTGCGGGCGCGCGGTGGGCGTCACGCATCGCGTGCGGGACCAGAAGGATACGAGGCCTGACATACGGGCGTGTGAGAGGGTTCAGGAGGGAAAAAAATGTGTGTGGACATTAGTTGTTTTGCGCACACGTAGATGCGTGGGCTGCTTGCTGTACATGCGACACAAGGCGTGTGGCACAACTAACCGATACACTACACATGTGGCAGTTATCGAGACCCAAAACAAAAGGCAAACTTTGTCAAGTTGATGGTGCTCCGTCGTCGACTCTGCGGTCTCCGAATATTATAATTCTATAGACTGGTTTCTGAATTCTCGTTTGTCGCCAAAGTTTTAGCATGCCACGACTAGGGACAAGTTAACTTTATAGTTTTTCACCGTACAACTCAACATACCAACCATCAACCGACCAACTCCATAGTATGCTAACTTACTGAGTAACTTTGAAAGTGTATTTGGATGTGTTTAGTCATGGCCTGAAACACAATGTTAGGAGATGAATTATCACATTAGCCACTCAGGTTCATAACAAGGTTGAAACTTCACATAAGTGGCTGAGACTTGAAAAAAGTGAAAGTGGTTGAAGCTGACACAAAGTGATTGAAACAATTTGAATGAGAAAATTGGAACCTTAAAAAAAAACAGGTACGTGTGTTTTAGTAATTTGGATGGGATATATCTCCTCTGTCCTAAAATAAATGTCTTAACTTTAATGTGATTTTGTACTAAAGTTAGTGTAAAATTGAGACAATTATTTTGAAATGGAAAGAGTACAAACCCGTGCATTCCGGCCTGATTACAAAACGGGATGAAAGGGGTCGGATGACTTGGATAGTTTCTCTTGTGCCGTGTGTGTCTAGCACAGAGTTAGATACGTTCACTTGAGCGATAGTTAATATGGGACGGAGGGAGTAGATGACACCGCCGGGCCGTGAGAGATCGATCGGCCGAGATGTATGCTCAGTCGTTTGCTCTCAAACTACGTGCCGTCGGACGTGCGCAAGCAGTAGTACTGGATTCACAATTGTTTCATTGTACTGACCGCTGTTGCATGGAGCCCACGACCGCGTACGTACATCCTCCGTTTCTGTGTGTCGACGTACGTCGTGCCGGCAAGCAGATACTCTTGTACGTACGTGACACAGCTAATTAAGATGAAAAGAGATTGCTGCTTCTTGGCCGCTCGGTGCCGGAGACGAACGTGCCGTGTTCGGAGCTGGATCTCGACGCCGGCCATGTGCTCTCAGTTACTGTGCATGGAGCCCATGATCATTTGTCTCGTATGG